GCCTCGGGTGTAATGATGGGGGTGATAGGAATGTTTTGCCTGCTTTGATTCTTGCCTACAACTGCCCTACCTTCTGAAACCTCCGTCTTCCTATTTGTGAAAGGATCCACTAACAAAAAAGACTTCGGAGCATGCTGGGCAGATCAAATGAGCTGATAAGTGAAGCAAGTGCTTAAATAATGATAGCTGCTCCTCCTTTGTAGCTTTCTCCATTGGACCAAACCTACTTCCACCGGGAAGACTTTTGCTTTTGATTATGTTCTTAACTTATTACAACCTATCTTTTGAGCTTCCTCGTTGAATTTCATACTAAACAGAGCCGCAGCCAGTGGTTCCAAAGAGACAGTTGTCACTGCCTGCACTGTCTCCCTAATGAGAGGCAGGCCTCTCCGGTGCAGCGCTGCACCTCCCTCACGTCCCCTCTGGGGTGCCCTGTGTAGTGGACAGGGTGGCTGAGAAAGATGTTGCTCAAGAGAACACCCCTGGTATCCCTCTTCCGTCCAGAGGTGACCTACCCTAGAGGCCTGACCCTAGCATCACACTCCTCTTAGCTGATCTGGGCATTCGGTCCTCTGCTTCCACTGCCTTCCCTTTCGGCGGCTGCTGTTGCGATGGAACAGCACCTGGCTGTTGAGAAGTTTGCTTTAGTAAGGCGGTCCCAGAAAACAGCTTGAGCCAGAGCCAACAGTGGTCCTCAGAGGTATTCACAATGTGAAAAACAGAATGAGGACACAGGTGGAGATGAGCCTGGAGGCAGGCAAGGCCTGGCCCTCAACATCTACGTGAAGAGTCGGACTCAAGCCTAAGCACAGAATGGGGTCACGTAAAGGCAGGCGAGGCAGGTTTCACATCCGCCTGCGCCATCATCCACTCTCTTACTGCTTCGTGTTCTACTTCATTCAGGGACAAGGACATAATGTTAGTTGATCTCTGTTGTGCAGTAAAATACTGATGGCCAAGTCAGTGTGCAAAGGAAGCATATTCCATGTTCCTTTCTTGCTTTTTCTGTCTTTGAATGAGAGAGGCAGTGAGGCATCACCATGGTGCACACCTGTAATCGCAGCAGGAAGGGGGCTGAGGCAGAGGACTGGCACCAGCTGGGCCAGTCCGAGCCACACAGAGAGTTCAAGGCCAGCCTGAACTACACAGCAAGACCCTGTGTCAACAACAACAAAAAAGAAATGAAAGAACCCATGAAAAGTAGTAAAACATATATTACCAGTTACAGGAATGAAATAGAAGCTGAAAAGAACTGTTTATATCTCTTCCCTCTTATCTTACAAATAGAGAATTATTTCTGTTTTCTTCCTAAGGAGAGAAACATACCTGCATATGTAGGTTTTCAAAAGGCAAAGGGGAAAATCAAATTCTGTTTCAGTAGACTATAGGTTTCTTGAGGTCAAAACTTGTCTTTCTGTCCGGGATTCTACAGAAGCTTGAAGAAAGACAAGACAAGATGCCGTCCTTGGAGGGAACACATCTGTATTCAGCATTCATAAGCTTTCCAGGGGACTCATTTGATAGAAAAGTCTCTGAAGTTAGGACTAAGTTAAAAATCTGCCTGTAAGGTTTTGAAGATATATCAAAAATAGGAAGAGAGAGAGACAGAGAGAGAGAGAGAGAGAGAGAGAGAGAGAGAGAGAGACACAACTAAGCACTGTCTGTGAGTTCACACACTTAGTATTGTGTCAGGCCAGAAGTCAGGAGGATAAATAGCCTCGGTTTTTGTAAGACAGACAACTAAGCACTGTCTGTAAGTTCACACACTTAGTATTGTGTCAGGCCAGAAGTCAGGAGGATAAATAGCCTCGGTTTTTGTACTCTGAGCGGAGATGGTAGAAACAGAACTTTGGGCTTCAGATCAATCAAAATGAGAGTAGAGATGGCCTCTTTCCTGTTCCCCAAAAGCCATCTGTTCTTTTCCTAAAGGTTAGAAAAGTTTTTTCCAGACTAGCTGAACAAACCAGCTCTGGTTCTTTCCTTAGGAAAACTTGTTTATGCTGTATCCCTTTTTAGTACTTGTAAAATTGGTGAACTTGCTTCTTCCCTATTAGCCTAAATTCTTCCACACTCAGCAAATATCAACAGGAAAAGGCTTTAGTTACTGATAACAATGAATGCAGGAGCTCAGACAGAGCCTTAATAAGCTGGCGGCACTGACAGAGGGAAAGACAGAGACACAATCTCCAGCTCATGTTTATAGAATAACAGGTTTGAAAGCACAGAAATGCTGAAATCTAGGTAAATTTATTCTGACAGTGACAATAGCACCATCTCTGACATAACTCCTATCAGTCTAAAGATTCATTTTGGAACTGTCAAAGCTTTCAAGCAGAAAATTATTCTCAGTGGCTGAAACTTGGTTAAACAAATTTCACGGCACAAGGAAAAATGAAGTTACTTTTGAAAGTGTCTTAGCGGAAGAATCTCAAGCAGGAAACCAGAACTATCACTGTTAGCCAGATAGGGAAGGTCATTTCCAAGCTGGTGCCCAGGAAAATAGCTGAGAGGTCAGCAGCTTGAAGGGATAGAACATGTGACCTGGACCCACCATGGGAGGTCACCTAAACATGTCCAGGAAGAGATAAAGAATTAAAGCCAGCAGTGGTGCCAATCGAATCTCTCTTGGGCAAATGGTGGATGGTTTGGCCCAGTAGTCAAAGCCATGGCAATTTGAGCAACAAAATAATGACAATACTGGACACAAACACAATAAAATAAACATGCACGAGTCCAAGGTGATATAAATGCATAATTAATGGAGAAATAACAAGTGATGATGAAAGAAAAGATGGCTCTTACTTAGAATAGCTGTCAATAAATAAAGGAATAAGAACAAGAGAAAATCTCCGTCAGACAAACATGACAGTGATAATTGTTATAAACAAGAATTACTGATGGAGCTTCAAACTAGTGGGTAAAACAATGAAAAGAAAAAATTAAGTTGCCGTTGCTAGGTATTTAATACCCTTAGAAAAAGGTCAGTGTCTTTTCCCATAAGATATATATTAACTATAAATCGAAGAAAAGTATATTTGGAGGGGAGCAGGCTGGCTGACACAACCTTAACCAAGTGGTCATATTTCACCGTCCGACACCAATAACCTCATGCACCTCAATGTGACACACTGGGAGGGGAACAGATCATATCTGTGTCAGTGTTACCCCAAATACAGAATCACAATCGAATCATGAGAAGCTTCAGGGAAATCCAGGGAGACAGTCTGTAAAGTGATTGATCTAAACTCTTCACAAGAGTCAAGGTCATGAAACAAGATAGGGTGAGGTAAAGGAGACAACAGAGGAAGGCATGTTTTATCAGTGTGTATCCTGTTCCAGAAAAGGACATTACTGGGGATTTGGAAGTTCAAATAAGGTTTATAATTAATTAAGAGCCCAACACTAGTGTTAATTTCCCGTTATTGATAGCTGTAGACTATAATTTAGATTAGATGTCAACACTAGAGAGTATAAACACTAGTTTAAGGGAAGATAAGAACTCTGTACTATATATACAACTAATCTGTAAAATTATTAAACAACAAAAAGTTAAAGGTAAAATTAAGCTTAAGTTGATTTCATTTGGCAGCCAGCCAGGGCCAGGCTGATGTGGACACATTTCTCGGGGAAGACCTAAAACCTTGATAGCAATCAGTGAGAGAAGAGTCAGGAAAGGACATAGCAACGTGGGCTTTTGCCTTTCTCACCACTTGCTTGATCGGGGTAGAACATTCCCTACAGCAGTAGCCTCCCTACCCAGTTTACCCTATGTGTTGCCCAACCTTTCTTATATTCTCCTGGTGAAGAGTAGTGGTGGCCTCTGACAGGAGACAGGACTCAGTATGCAACCTGCATGGGAGAGATGGAGAGGGGATCTGCAGATGCTGTGGAGTGTGCTCAAAACAGTAAAGTAGGCAAGCTTGGGGAGAAAAGACCCAGCCAGCAGCCCGTGTGAAATTTATAGAGGGCAAGCAGGAAAAATGTGGGTCTCCTAATAAGTGTGGGTCTTCAATAACCTTCAATTTCTCAATAGCATCTCTTCTCTAGATTTTTCAAAACCAAACTAATATATCAAGCTGTTCTACTCATTTTACCCCACAAAAATATCACATGTACAAAAATAAAGTTGCAGTCAGATCCTTTTTCCAGACCTTGTAATTTGAAAAAATCTTACAATACAAAAATAAACTAAAGCCAGATGCTTATTTGAATGTTACCAATTTGAGAAATAAAACAATTATTAGAGTATATTATTAGAGTTCATTTCTTGCTAGACATTAAAATATTTGTAGATAGATGCACCAAAGAAAAGTAATTACAAAAAGACTTACGAAAGGAGATACCAAGCTTTATGTTCCAAACATGATTTTAAAAAACCAGGCTATTTAATCATAGTATGCATCCATTTTCCTATGAATACATACATATTGAGGATATACTCCCAAGTGAAAAAAATAAGTCACGTGTAAATACCAAATAGTTTCTCTGGTGTGAAAATCTATAATAGTACATAAGATCCTAATGAGATAACTGACAGTGTGAAATAGGAAGAAAAGGGCTAAAGATGTAGGGAAATTGGGAAGGGTAGGGGAAAGGGAATAAGGGAAAAGAAAAAAATAGGAGAAAATGAAAAAATGGAAATAAAGTGTTTGTAAATGGGGAGGGGAGGAGGGGGTGAAGGGAGGGCAGGGACAAGGGGAAAAAATGAGAACCAAGACTTGTCATGTAAAGGTACAAGATCCCAACAATGAATGTAACTGTACTGTATACCTAAAATGTACCAATAAACTCAATGAGGGGGGAAAAAAAAGAAAAGGTAAAAAAAAAAAAAAAAAAACCACATAAAACAAAAAACCAGGGTATTTAGCATGATCTGAATGAGTTCTGCAGTGCCTGTACAGCACAGCCTTCACTCTCACTGTAGAGGTAAGTGCTTTGTGGTTCACTCCACCATTGTGAGGGGGGGTCCCACCACCGTCCCGTGCTGGGTCCGTACCTACCTCCCACAGCATTACAGCGAGATGTCATTTCCCAGAGCACCAAAGCCATAGAGTAGACATCGGTCTGCTTGAAGGACTCAACATTCTCCAAGTTCATCCTGGATTCCAGGACTTCTGGGGCCATGTATCTTGCAGTTCCCACCTAAAATAAAAATAGAGTTTGAGGCCTATCATGCAATTTCAGGCCCCTTTGAGAACAGGTGCTCTTTTAAAAGCTCATAGTACTGTTTTAAGGAATGAGAAGTGCACAGAGAGACACAGCATCGGTGGTGATTTTTTAAAAATAGATGTTCTCTCCCTGAAAAGCCTTTAAAGACAAAGAAAGCACGCCACAATAAGAAGTGCCAAAGCCCAGAGATGCCTTATCAGACTCACGATGGATGGGATCACACCATTCAGTAACATCCTTACCTATAACCTAAGAGACAATATCTGTGACATTTTAGATGTTTATTTTTGCTTTTTGCAAATTAAACATTTTTTCACGCTTCAAATGCCCGGGCTTACAATGAAAATAATCACCATCAGTTTTGACAGTGGAGGACTGCTTTAATCTTCGTTTACCACATGGTACACTCCACTGTGTCAAGGGTGTACTATAATTTCATAGATCTCCACAAAATCAAAGTCATGTGAAAGTATTTTCACAGTTAAAGACCAATATGGAATCGCGTTATAATTTTCATGGGTGTGCCACAGAGTTGTATTTTGACTTTTAGGCCTGTGCTAATCTCTATGACTGAGAATGCAAACGAGACCTGTAGGAAAGAAGAAGAAATATTTCTAGGAGAAACATTTCATATTCATGTGTTTGAAATGCAGTCTGTACTACCTAAAGAAACGACAGTAACTGTCTGACCTTCCCAAGGACCTACAGAAGGTCAAGTAATTTGTTATCATTCCCATGAACATTTCTTACTGGCATACAGCAGAAGAAATTTTTCTTTTTAACAGGTCACTGCATGACTCGTTAGTCTGGCACATTAGTTCGTGTTTCACATGTTTATCTCAACACTCGTCGGTGGCCACAGGTACAGAAGCCTGGTTGAGCGGTAATAACTGTCCCAGAAGCACATGCTGCAACCTAGCCAGAGGAAATAACGGCGCTTATGATGAACCTCACAGTGTGAAAACACAGGGCTCCTCATTTAGAAAGGACACCTTGAGAATTTTTACCATTTTTCTAATAACACCTTCACCAAAAAGGTTTCCACTTTAACCTGTGAGGCTGTTTCAAAAATGGAGCTGCTCATTTGCTCAACAAACACTTATTTGAACACTTTCACTGTTCAAGGCATTGTGTTAGGTGTCTTGAGGGACCACGTGCCACATGGAGGTGGATTTGGACATTAAGGAAACTGCCTTCTGGAATCTAGAAATCGATGTGACTACCAGTGGTATAGGGCTGAAAGGACTAAGAAAGAGAGGGAAAAAATAGAGATAAAATGGTAACAGCACTTGAAGCAAAGATAAATCATTTGCAAATAGAAATGAGGACTGACTCTTGGAGGAAAATATTTGTCCTGAGTTGGGAAGGCTTTGAAGATGGGGATAGAAATGCTGTCCATTAGCAAAGGTACCCAGGCAAGAGACAGTGAGCAGGCCCATGAGTAGGCACCTGACTTCGGCTGGATTCCCTAGCCAAGTATCCAGAGTGTAGAACTACTTGAGACAAGAGGCATGCAGTATGGATCCAGAGGTAGGGTGTTGTCAGCTACAGGCAGAAGGATCTAGCGGCAGCTCTCACTTACCTGTCCACTGTTAGCCAGGTCATCCACAGACAGAGTAGGGTCCAGACGCAGGGAAAGCCCAAAGTCACACAGGCAGCAGGTCAGGTCATTCTTCACGAGGATGTTGGAGCTCTTGAGATCTCTGTGCACGATGGGCATTTTAGGTCTCCCACATGGCGTGTGGTCACTATGGAGGTGGGCAATGCCCTGGGCAAGGGAGCTGCCCAGCTTGCGCAGGTCCTCCCAGCTTATGACATGCCGGGTGAGGTACTCCTGAAGGTTGCCCTTCGCGTGGAAGGCAGTGATCAGCCAATACTGTTTCCCCAACTCTGTCTTCCGCTCCTCAGCTGTGAGGAATTGGAGGATATTCTCATGCTTCAGGTTGATGTCTGAGAAGATGTCTTTCTCTGTTTTCCAAGAGGCGTACTCCTCATAGGGGAAGATCTTGACTGCCACGGTCTCAAACTGCTCTGAGGTGTTCTGCTTCAGTTTGGCCTTGTAAACCTCGGCGAAGCGGCCTTTGCCCACCAGTGTGTCCAGCTCGATGGGCAGGAGCTCCGTGTTGTGGTTGATGTTATTGGCACATGTGGAGCTGATGTCAGAGCGGTCGTCTTCCAGAATGATGGCACAGTGTTCACTGAACTCCATGAGCTTTCTTGGCTTGCTGCTCTCCCAGGATGGGTTCAGCTTCTGCTGCCGGTGAACGCGGTAGCAGTAGAAGATAATGATGACAGCTATGGCGATTCCCAGAGGTGGCAGAAGACTGACACCCGTCACTTGGAATATGACTAACCACAAGTCAGGACTGCTGGCCGCATATTCTGATGTGAAAGCAAAACAAAAGAGAGATGGAGTTACGTCAGGAGGCGCCTATTGTCAAGAGGCGAATCCATGCCTCAGGTCTCCATCCGTGTTAGCATCTGTTTAGTTTATGGGGATGCTATATTATGAGTATTCTCCAGGCCACAGTTGCTAGTAGATACCTGTTCATTCTTTGCCATCTCTGGCCATCCAACGCCTCCTGTCCTTCCCCAAATTGCAGCTTAAATGTTACTCCCTAAGGGAAAACTAGGAAAAATTGGTGAAATATCATTTTTATATTTGTATTTATTTTTATAGTGGCACTGACCTCACAGTGGATTTGTATCTGTCATTCCCTACTCTCCCCAGCCCCAGCAGACAGAGTGCCCTATGCTGGCCGGGACTCCTTCCCTGAGGTAAACAGCATTTAGCACACAGCAGGTCCTCATGTTGTTGAATCAATACAAAACATTTACTGAATGTTAACTAAGGTCAAGGCATTGCAGTGGCACAGGCAATATAGATAGGATGATACCATGCCAGCCTTCAAAAACCTAGCATAGGTGGGGTCATCTAACAATGTAGACACTGTCACAGTTCTGTCATATAGTCTTTGCTCTTTCCCAAGCTCCAACTTTGTCCCGCTCTGATCAGCATGTGGGCTGCCCAGACTCATCAAATCTTGGCTGTTAGAGGAATTTATGGAAAGTGTCTCTTTGAAAGTCTGTTCCTCATGTCCACCCAATACTTCTCTTTTCACTGCGCATGCGCTCTGTCATTTCAGAAAGCAGAAATGATTAATAGTAACACTGGAAGCACTACTGCAAAGATAAGAGGAGTTAAAATGGAAACGTAACCAGTTTTCTGACTTGGACTACCGAAGGAGGACCCTATGCATTAAGGAAGAAGAGTGCTTAGCTTCAGATATATAACCACAATGTCCTATTTATCAAACTTTGGTTCATTTGCCAGCTGTGGTTGGCTCTGCTTTGTTTTCCTCTTAAGAAAAGAAACATGGATAAAACCATGTCGTCAGCAGGAGTCAAGGATGGCAGTAACAGTTCAATGAAAGCATATGATTGGTGCTTCCATTAGGCAAAAGCGTGAGAATTCTATTGCTTTGTGTGTCGTTTGCCCTTGAAGTTACTCACTGATGAGCAGACCTCATGCTCAGATGCCACATCCATCTATTAATATATTACTGCTGAGTGTCTGCCATGGCCATGACACTGCCTTCAAAGAGTATCCAGTAGGGGAATGAAGGGATGTATACAAATGTTAACCAATACATAGCATTCTGAAATGGAAGCTGAATGTGTGCTGTGATCGATGTGTTGGTGGAATGTGAATAAAAGATTAGAGAAACATGCAAAGCACAAAGGCAATGACTGCCTTTCAGTTGGTCTCTGATGGACTGGATAAGTCAATGACGGGCAGAAACAGTGTCCTGTTCAGGAGAAAGAATATATTCTCTCTCTGAGGAGCACTCCCACAATGATTCTGTACAGGGAAATACACAAGAGAAAAAGGCTGGGTGGGTGGTATGGAACTAGACTTCACATCATAGAACAGATTTGTAATTCAGTTAATAGTTTTCACCTACAGTAAGTGTCTAAGGAAAAAAGTGATGAGAACACAGCTCAACAGTCCAGGAGCAAAGGCGACATCCATAATCTCTCTAAAGGGAACTGATTATCTAAATGGCGTTTGTTATCATCACTTAATGAAACGCAGAAATGAAGCTAATACGTGCCAGTTGTGAATGTGTAGGTGTAATACAATTGGCCACACAACTGATTCAGTAATTGTTCTTAAGGTAATTCTAAATGGAAGTGCCACCTCCTCATTCTAAGATCTTAAGTCTATTTAATAGAGCTAAAAACTAATTTGAGCAGGAGGATGGGAATACAAAAAGCTATCATTTTAGGGAGAGGCATATTAATGCACTTAAAATGGGAAAAGGTATATAATTTGGTGGTTGAAACATGAAAACATAAATTCTTATTCTGGGGAGCATAGATGGAGACAAAGGACAGAAAGGACCAGGGATAGAAGAGGCAGTGCAAGTAGTGGTGGGCCAAAGTAACTGTAGAAAGGAGCTAAATATGAAAGGAAAAAACAAACAGTGGACTGTCCCCGTTGTCCCAAAAAATATGAGCTGGGGAGGCAAAATTAAAGAGACAAATGAGATAATATTCAACTGCAACAGCACACTGCTGCATTAATTCTCTGAAATGGAACTCCGTCTCTATTATCTGAATCATCTTGTGGATGGATTTGCTTAACGTACACACTTGCTTCAATTCTTCATGACTGTAACTATATAAAATGTTTAATTAGTTTCATTACCTGACTGATCCATTTTCTTGGGATAAAGTAAACTCTACACGAGCAATGGCCAAGTCTATTCTGATTGCCAGGATGTGTTCTGCACCCAGTACAGGGCCCTACATAGGATTCAATGAAAGTTTTTTGCATAAATTGGATGAATGGTTACTTGTGTGGGGTGGAATTCCTCAAATTTCTTATGTTCTAAGTCAGAGTTTGGCAAACTATTGCCCAAGGGGCCATGGCCAGTTTTTGTACATTCCTGTGACATAGATCTCCTTTACTTCATTTAAAAATAGTTTTACACACACACACACACACACACACACACACACAGAGAAGTTTCCGCAACCAAAATCCTATCTGACCTGTAAATCCTAAGACATTTACTATCTTGCCCTCTATAGAAAATGTTTGCTGACTCTTAAGTGTTATTACTGGCAGAATTTGGAGTCTTTACTTTGGTCCAATGTGAAATTATTTTTCATACATAACAAAATATAACTCAAAAATGTAAATATTAACTGCATCATTACTTAGTTGTGTCTCTGATGCATTACAACATTCAAGTAAACTTAAGATATCACTGATAATTTTATTTTAATCATTTCTAGCCACACACACACACACACACACACACACAGACACACACCACACACACATTTCTTGCTAATATCTATTCCTTTCAGGCTAAAGAAAATACAAAAACAGAAAGCCCCTGAAATTTATGTGTGGTATTGACCACAGAAAATTCTAGAAACCCCCAGTTCAATGTTAGAAACCAAAGTTTTACTTTCTTCTCAAATTTCCTGTGATTTCTTTTTGAAAATCTACTCGTCAAAATTTGTAGGGGAAGAATTATTGAACGACATCTGTCAATGTTGAAACTTGAAAGAGATGGTAAAATACACTAATAGCAAACCAGTCTGGAAGGAAGCCTTGGGGTGTGGCTCTTTCTGAGCAGCAGACACCCACACCCTCTCAAGAGAATTAACCCCTGGGTTGGTAGCAGAGAAACTAACCACCATAGGTATAGGCACAAGCTGGCATCTCCTTCACTGAGAAGCCAATGTAAAGTCCTTCTTTTCAACCCGCAATTACAGAGACACTCCCAGACCTCTCAATTCATCCAACTTTTAACTAACCTCTGAATAACATTTTCTAGGATTAATCGCACCTGGCTGAGAGCTGAGTGTTTTATACAATATTTATAATTAACTGGCAGAAATACAACGTGAAGTAGAAACTACTATTATTATATAGCCCAGTTTACAGCTAGGGAAGCTAAAGTTCAAACAGTTTAAGTGATTTCCCAAGATCATCCACACAGGTAATAACAAAGCTGATGCCTGCAACAAGCTCTGATTGGATACAGCTCTGAATCTCATGTCATAATCTATAAACTTCACATTAGTGAAAGCCGATTAAGAATGACTTTATATAACCTCTCAGTTTGATTAAGCGGTTTTCTTTCTAGGAGGCTGAACTAAGTGCTTTCATAGCCATCTGCTCAGTGACATTGGCAATTCTTAGATAATGCGTGTAAAGCGGGCATCTGCTAGATGTGCAGACTATTCTCCTTGGTTCTCAACTAGAATCAAAGTGTCCTTGCAAATATGTGTCTTCTCCCTACCTGGGCAAGAAAGGTCTTATGGGAGAGAACTCGAAAATCTTTTTCTCCCTTCAGGGTTTACCCTAGGCTCTAGCACATAGGAGTCTGGAGACAATATTGTTGAACTACTGGAAGCTTCTGTGAATAGTTTATTATAAGAAAACATCAAGGTAAGTATAGGTCTGGATCAACTTTCTCTATGGTTCATAAAAAGTGAGGTTATACACTACAAAAATCAGAAATTCTCAGCATGAGCTCCATTTATAAAATCAATTTTGTGAATTTAATAGCAAAAATTACACCTCTCATTTCCTCCAGCCTTTGACTAAACCTCTGAATAACGTTTCCTAGGATGAGTTGTACCTATGACTTTGTCCCCAGTTGAAATCATAAATATTTTCACTCCATCTTGTTTGATATGGACGTCTTACACTCATCACTCAGACATTTTATCTTTTCAGATGTGCTGTAAACCTCCTCAAAGCATTACTATATAAACATATAACTGTATCACAGATTCCTTTTTAAAAATGTTTGATCATGTCATTTCAATATAACTGTTTTCCTCCCCAAATACTGAGAATTACACTTTATTCATTTGGAAACTTCATTCTGAGAAGGGGCCTACATAGGCAGCATCAGATTTCAAGAAGTCCGTGGTGATTACATTTAAAAAAGCAAAGCTCTCTGGGCAAAACTAAGGCATTGGAGTTCTGGTGTCTCTGCCAGGATTTCCCGGAGCAAAGATCTTGAGATTCATCAGCTTTTCTGAGAAGCTGATGGTGCCAAAACAGATCAACCTGGCTTAATGTGGTGTGTGTGTGCCTTAGGAGGATGGCGAATTCTGTCTCCCTGGAATAATAAACACAAGTGGGTTATGTACACGTACCAAGTCCCTGTGAACTAATAAAAATTAAAAAATAATAAAGATAAATAACACTTAATGCACTTTACTAGGCCAGGTACTTAGTAGCTACCATCTCTTTTATTTCCCCCAACAACCCTGTGAGATCCTGCTATTACCCAACAGTTATTCTGTTATTGCCCCCATTTGGCTGAGAAAGATCTTGAGCTGTGGAT